CCCCAAAACCCCAAAACCCCAAAACCCCAAAACCCCAATAAATAGAGCAGTGGTGGAATTCATAATAAAGTTATTAAGAGAATCTTTTAGTTATGATCTTTTGTAAGAAAAGTAAGTGGCCAGAGAACCAAGGTCTGGATGGTCAAGGACGTGGTAATTCTAATTTTTGGAATCTGCTTCAATATCCTTCAGCTTAGTTTTAGTCAGCTGGCAAAGAAGAAATGGTAGTAGCATTTTTTACAAAGAATTACGTCTGATGATGCTAAATTATTTAGAAATGACGTAATTATTTATAATTCTGTTAAACAAGAGCTTTACATTATGGAGACAATTAGGAAGATATTTAATATTCTTTTAGAGTATCTCAGAAGACAAACAATCATTCTTCCCTCTTTGAATGAAGTGTTTGAAAATTTAAAGGTAGGAGAGAATGTTAGCACAAGTGATAAGGAATATGATTTACAAAGGAGCTCATTGATTACAAATAATATTTCCCTATCCAAGCTTCCTTCTCTTTCTCATATCGAGTTGAACCTTGCACCTTTGGCTCAGAAGAACTCAGCATTATGTCATAAAACTTCTTCTTCAAAGGTAGCATCACCATCTTCGTTCCCTAGTGCTGAGCATATACCAACACAGAAGAGAAATGAAGTTAACCAAAGCGTAAAAACCACAAGTTTCCCCACCCAAAATTCATCTCTAATTTCAAATCCTTCTCTTGAAAGCTCTGATTACCCTCAATTACCGTCCAGACCTCAGTCAGCCAGATTCCACTGCTCCTTCCCCAAATGTAAAAAATTCTTCAGCTCTCCCATTGCCAGAGACTCTCACTTGAGGTACCATTACAAGGACCGTCCCCACCACTGCCACCTCTGCTCAAAGAGCTACACTCAAAACGGTAACTTAATCAAACACTTGAGGAGTCATGCCACTCCAAGCATTGACCGCAGAAGAGTCCATACATGCGAGTTCTGCAACAGGAGATATACTGAGAAGTACAATTTAAAGGTAAGAAGTGGTACTTATCATATCTTGTATAGAACCATCAATTTAAAATTCATCCTGTTGAGTATCAAAGAAAGTATAACACGCCCAGAGTTTAAAATTAATTTTATTCTAAAATTACCCAAGAAAATAAACTTTTTAAGAAGCCATCTTCAAAGCTTTCCCAATTTCCCCCTTCCTTGCTTCTCTAATTGGAATGAAGGTTTTGCTAAAAATGGCGTAATAATAGAATTGAGGCTAAATATATCAGTGTTATGTCATATCATAAATCGAATTTAGCTTTCTTGATAAATTTCACGTTTAGATATTTCTGATGATTTGAAAGTAATTGTAAGAGAGAACGTCCGGATCTTTCTTGAAAAGTATTATTACTGAAAAGGTAGGTTCACTATCCATTAGTCATCAGAAAATTAGGCGAATTGTTGGGAAGGGCTCAGATAGACCCACGATTTTTAGGAACGATTAATATGAGTAACTTAGCATTAATCTTGGACAAAATTGGAACAAATGATATCTCATAAGTCTCTCCAGTAAACCTTAGATTAGGTAAAAAGATTCTCATAATCTAAAAAGCAGGTGATCTGAGGTTATAACTAGATTATTCAGAGTGTCCATAAAACTCTTGTAAACTCTTTAAAGCTGCTTAAATAATCTCCTTATCAAAATGTTGATAAGGGAAATTTAAAAGTAAAACGCCAAATTAATTAAGCTTCAATGAATCATTTAACTCTAAATCTAGAGCTTACGTAAGCAAGGTTGGCTTTAAGAGTAGGCTTAATTTTTCATAAATATTTTCTCATCCTCTAACGCCAAAGAATCCCTTTGAAGCACCCTCAGATTTCTGATTTAAATAATTTTATCGGCCACGTCAGCATTACTTATTTGTTCCGAACATTTTTCAAGAATAAGAAAATTACGTCAAAATATTATAACCAGAAAGAAAAACTGACCAAATACAATAAATGGCCAGTGTTCTTCCTGGTATTGGAATTTAGTCGAGAGACTAAACTAAGGCGAGAGGAGAGAGCTCCAAGGCTTCTTAATGCTCTTTTCCTCAATATCTTGGTCTCTCCGATCGAAGGTTAGCCCAGTTGGTTATTGTAGCATAAATATGTATTAGGTTTGTCTTTTTTAGTAAAAATCTTCGTGCTATTTTCATTATAACGTCGAAGTGAAGGACTAGGGGTTGTTGGGTGATACAAATAGTTATAAAATACATTATAAATCATTCTTATGACCTCTAATACCAGTCAGAAGGTCAAAAATGAGAAATCCTGATCTGAAAATCTTCATTTTTGTGCAGATTAGAATTCTTTTCTGGCAGCTTTTGTATAATCTGGCCGGCTGTAGTAGAAGTTTGTGCAGTTGGCAAATTGAGAGTAATAATTTTACAAGGAAGCAGCTATAAATCAGTGGGTTTCTGACATCTTAATAGGCATGGTTGGTCAAGATTCTTAAACTTGTAGTAAATTGGATGTATATCTACTACAAGGTGGGGGACGGATATCGAGGAAGGAATAGACAAAGCAGTAGAGGGGAGGATTTTGTGAATTATTTAGGAGAATTAATAGTTTGTGATAAGCGAGAATGAGGGATTTAAGCAGGAATGGAATCGCTGAGAAAATACTGACAGGTCTGAGGAAGTTTACAAATTAGCTGAAAAGTTTTGGTTAGGTCCTTTATTGTTAAATTTGTCTCTTTTCTATCTTACTTTGCTTTGATGGGGTTTTGGGGTTTTGGGGTTTTGGGG